CCACGCGTGTGCCTCGGGAGTCCCACTGCTCCCGCCGGTGGGAACAGCGCAGCGGTTCCCCTGGGACCAGTCCAGGAGCCAGCCACCTTGCCTTCTGGGTGGAAGATTTCCCTGCGATAAGGCCGTGCGTTGGCTGATGGCTCTGCTGTGTAGAGCCACGTGGGTTTGCCCAGAGCCGGCAGGAGCAGGCCTGGAGCTGTGCCGTGCCGGTGGTGGAACAAAGCTGATGGCAGGAACATGGCTGCTACGGGCCTTTCTAATTTCTAACGCAGTGGAAACTATTGCAGTTGTAAGAGGTCTCCTTTTTAAAATGGCCATTGTTACAGTATCGTGGCTTTCTACCCGGCTCTTTTTACGCTGGGGAAATACACGGAATACTGCAGAAAAAATAAAGGACAGCAAAATGGTTAAGGGATACTCTGTTAGGAAAGAGCACGCTTTCTTCGCTCTTGTTCCCCCCATCCTCTTCCCAGCTGTTGTGATTCACGACGATGAAGAGCCGACGATTATAAGATTAAGCAGTGCTCTGACTAATCAGAAAGTTGCAATGCTCCTCGCTTCGATTCCCGCACAGTTACATAAAGGCAGTGTATTTGAAAGCAGAATCAAGTCTGTGGCTTGCAGAACAGCACAGCAAGAATATAAACGAGTATTAATTACAATTATACAGAGTAGCGTCCCTGAACTGCTTACAGCAACAAAGTATAAACTGCCAGAGCTGATTCCCCCTTATCCGTCAGACCAGAAGCCGACAGTGCTACAAGGAAGGAGTTTATCAAAGGGTTAAGAAAATGTCGTGCAGATTATAACAGTCTTGTATGCATCACTCGGATTTGCCACAGAGCAGTCTTGAATGGTAGCTACAGACTACATCATGTCCTGCATTTTTATATATGTGCAGCAAATATACGTATTTTATTCTAAAATATTCAAGGACTAACTTGTAGGTAGCGGATGTTAGGTTTTCATATTCCTAATGACTGCCTGATCCTCTTGTAGTGACAAAAATGGACTTAAACCTGACTGATTGCAGCTTTCCTTGTTCATTGGTGTCACAGTGTCGGAGGAATGGAGTGATGAGTGGGTCAGGTCTTACCCTTTCATCCTGGACCGTTCTTTGGTGGTCCCAGGGCCAGGAAGGCAAAGAAAAGTCACATGAAGTCTCATAAACTTTTTTTATCCTCTTTTATTTGATCCTGTTTGCCTGTTAGGGCCTGACTGGACCTGTGAATCGTCCCAGGTCATTAGTCAAAGCAGCTATCCCTCCAGTACGATATTTTCTTACGTTGTCATTATGAAGTAGTAATTTTAGAATTACAGCAATTCTTGTCATATTATCATTATGTTTTTTTTCAAAACAAAAAATTACCGTGACTGTCTCTGGGGATGTGCCTAGCTGCAATCTTGGAAGCGCAGAAACAAGGCCTGAGGTTTCTGCTTAGTAGTTTGAGCAGGTATTTCAACAGTCTGAATAGAATTTACAAGTTCAAAATTACAATTATACGAATGTTATAAATAACATTTCCTACTTTAACAATCTGTGATTCAAATAAAACATGACATAGTTCCAAACAGATAACACCCCAGAGAGTGCAGAAGCAATTTAGTTTTGAGGGAAGGGATGAGGGGAATGACAAAAGAAAAGGTCTGCTGGTCCATTCATAATTCCACAAAGGTGAGATAAATTGCACGCGCATGAGGGTAGTGGTTGAAAGTATGTTCCCCTGGTACAGAGTGTAGTTGGAGCCCATCCCTGTTTGTGACAGTTCCCAAGCTGATCCTTAGTTTCACAAATAAGATTAAGAACCTGATTAACTCAACTCTTCTTGATTTCCCCTTCTTAGTGGCTTAAACTATGATACTTGAGGAAAATAGATAGATGTGCAGTCAGAAAAAAAAAAAAAGGAAAAGGAATAATATGAGAAAGCAAAAAGAAGACGAAGAAATTTCAGGCTGACTTGCAAGTATTTCAGTAGCTGAGGGAGGTGTCAGCAAGGGAGAGGGCAGCAAGGAAAGAGAACTGAAACTTAAGTGCCCAGGAGAAATGAAAGTGAAACTCAGGTCTGTGAATGGAATGAGGACATGGTGGGGAAATGCTCAAACAGTGACAAGCTGGTACAACAGCAATACTATGAAATTATCTTGCCTAGGACAGGTGCCCTTGAGATTTTTTAACCTGTCTTCTTAAAAAAATGTATAGCTTGCATAGATCTTTAATGACTTGGGCCCACAGTCATGCTGACTTAGGGTGAGCAATGGTACAGAGCCTTAGAGGGAAAAGTATGTCTGTAATCTCTATCTGAACTGAAAGCCAGATGAACTCTGACACAACACAGAGTGGGCAGAGGAGCAGGCAGGACAGTACTGCTGGTTTGGGAGCCTCATAGCCCCTCTCTGGGAAGTGGCTCTCGTTGGAGTACATCAGGGGTCTGGTCTGACATCCCGGGTCAAGGGCCAGGAATGTACTGCGTGGAGCAAGAAGCTGTGTCCAAGAGAGCCACTGTTGCCACAACTGGATTTGCAGCAAAAGGAATAGTGGCTATTCTGAGTCTCCCTCCACCTGCTACCTTTTCACCTGTACAGCATAACCCCTGTTCAAATTATCAAAACCCCAGAGCCTCCTGAGTACACTGAGGCTTCATTGCAGGTCTAGAAGTGCTGTCCTTACTGACAGATCCTTCTGTGAACCTGGTTGCCACTGGCTGCTGGCTCCACTTTTCTGCCTGGCTGTGACCATCACTGTTTGGATACGTGAGCTGTGGAGAACACCAGGGGGGACACAGGCGAAGGAGAGACTGTTTCCAGTACTCAGTGTGTCACCATACTATGTACAGGCAGCCACAATGTGTCTTTTGAGTGAAACATCGTTCCTCACTAAGTTCTTCCAAAGAGTTCATCGGCATTGTGGGGGTTTTCTTTACCAGGCCTAAAACTTCCCCAGCAATGCTTTTAGAAGGGGGAAAACCACTAAGAAAAATAAAAAACACAGCACTGGGACACTGAACTGAATGCTGAAGCTAAGGGAGGAACTAACAAAGCAGCCTTCAACACCATTCCACATAACATTTCTTTAGTTTTTTTAATAATCCTATTTTTTTCAATATTGACTTCTCACCAACACAGGCAAAAGATTTTGCATTAATTTCAGCAACACATAAAACCAGTTTCACAGTTTGTGAAACTTATTTTGTTTATTCCTTTGATCCTACTAAGGATCTGCTAAAATTGTTTTGTAAGAACAGGAATGAGGTTAATCTGTGGCCCACTTAAAAATCAGATAGGAATGCTGTAGGATATATAGATATATATTTCATACATATATCAGGATTTTTTTTCATGTTGATACTGTTCCCTGGGTACTGTCTTTGCCAATAAGTGTATTCACTTAAAAAAAAAAAAAAAAGCTGTAACAAATGCTTAGTGAGGATCTCTGCATGGATTTCCATCCTACAGGGTAGAAGATACATAATTAGGGAAAGAAATCTTCCTATCCTCCTTTTCTCCTTTATTCCCTTTCTTCTTGTTTCCCAGACTGCAGGAAGATCAACTACTTTTTAATACAAAGTTTGCAAATGTGTTTAATCCACAGTCAGTTATACGGGCTATTGTCAGGTCTTTCAGCCAAACTCCTAAGGTGTAAGGGAATTGTTTCAGAAAATGTCAGACAAATGTCACACCAAAAAAAAAACACCCAAAAACCCAAACCCCAAAACAATCTGGAAGAAAAGATGAGTTCCCTGATAAAGCTTTGGGGCAATTTTGCTGACTCATGATTTGTCATTTATCTCATGAGAGTTGGCATTTTTTTGTGTAACTTACCTTTCATAAAAATGGGAGGAAGTTACCTTTTAGCCCTGGGATCTGGAAGAAAAAGCCTTGAGAATGTGATGACTTGAAATTCACTACAAATAAAGACTGTCAAATTGATAGGTTGTTATTATTGTTTTTTAATTCTTGTTGCTGTGATGGGTTATGAATATTTGAGCTAGTTTATTCTTTCAGCCTCTTTTTCAGCAGGAGTTGAGGAAGCTTATGTTTTAAAACTGAAGATATGTTTAAAAAATGACATTTTTTTAATATGCATGTCTGGATTGAAGACAGACATTTTTAGGACTTTATATTCAATATGAGTAGTAAAATGCAGAAGATGACCCATAGTCCTAAATATGTTAGCATCCAGTGTAGGAGTAAACATACAATTTTAAGCACAGTTTAAATAGTTTAAACATAGTTTGGGATTTAAAGTTACTGAAAAATAAGTTCAGCATAGGCAGAGGGTGTGTTCCCAGGATCAACTTCATTATGAAAGACTATTTCTAAAGTTAAAGTTGTTGGTTATTCATTTGCAAAGGTCACCTATCCCAGGGCCTCTTTGGTAAGCTTGCCAATAAAGGTACTGTTATGAAACATGGTTGCAAATTTCAGCTCCCTGTTCAAGGGAAGCTGAACTAAGGCTGCAGTCTTCTTTTGCATAACTGTCAAAGGTGAATTATTACTATTTTCAGCTGGATGCAGCTCAGAAACCTATGAAAGATGGAAACATTATTAAACTGCTAAGATAGGGGGGTTCTCTTTCAACTTCTGTGCAAAGGGA